TTCAATCGCACTGTACGCATGCACCCGCACATGGTATTTTGTGGAAGAGCCATATTGAAGGGGCCAAAGAGCTGCTTGTGGCTCTCGAGCCGCAGTTTGCCGACCACAGATCTAGGGAAAGGCCATGGCAGGGATGGGGTTGCTCAGGGAAACCAAGCCTTGTAGACACATCTTCCATATACTTAGTCCTAGAAACCACTTGCACTGTGATCCCCTCTTTGGACCCAGCTCTCTGGAAGGAATGTGGGCCCTTGGTGGGGAAGGGAAGGCTGAGCGAAAGAAGATGAGACATTTGGAACATGGGCAAAGGTCAGTTTGACGTGCTCTGCCAAGCTCAAGAAATATTGTTCTCTGACCTTGGACATGCAGTGTTAGTGACAGATAGCCTCCTGCTGGGGTGGGGAGGGGCGGGTATTCTGTATGTGGGTGCCTGGAAAGACCCCAACTTCAAGCTCTGCCCATCAGAAGACCCACCTGGTTTTTTCAAGAGTAGCTTCACCTATGGGCAGAGGGATAGATAAAATGACCTTTCCAGCTGCTCCGGAGCCCAGCCCTTACAGAGGAAAAATGGATTGGGGGTGACTAGCCTCCTGCGGCTTCTAAAAGGGGGCTTGGCAAAGGCCTTTAGTGGGTGGCTTTTCCAGATAAGGATGGCTGGGGGCAGTGTGAAGCCAGGGAGAGTGGGCTGAGGAGGGATGGAAGGGAGGAAATGCAACCCAGAGCAAACAGAACCGCCCCTGGCTTCTCTCCTCTGTCCTCCAGCCTCATCCCTGACAGAGAGTTTAGTGAAGTGGGGATGCTGAACCCCAGGTAGCTGGAGAAATCTCAAATTCTAATATGTCAAAGTTCATCACCAAAAATAGTTACCAAAACTGGAGAGGAATTCCACTCATCACCCAATCTCCAGAGCCAAGCTGGAGTCCTGAGCTCCTCCCGCTCTTCTTATCCCAGGAGTCCTAAACAATTGGGACCAACTCCTTAGAATATCCTGTACCCCCTCCTCGTAATAATGGAGCTGGGTCCTAGGGACCAGGCCTGGAGGAGGAGTGTGGGATGGGGTCAGCACCATGAGCTGTCCCACCTCAACCCACCAAGGACCTCAGCCCATGCCCAACAGGAGAAACGGTAAAGTCTGCCTGCTCACCTAAGGATGATGGCAGCTGACAGTAACTCATTAGTGAAAAGGTGCCACATCAGTGGAACAACAGTTTAATCCGAGCCGAATTGGGACATAATCATTTAAGGTCATTCTAAGGACCTGCCAATGCTTTTGTGGGTCATTCTAAGAGTTTCAGTCCAAGCACTGAGTGAAGGTGGAGGCTCTTGTCTGAGGGAGCTAGAAGGCACTGGAAAGTCTGATTTTTAGGTGTGATGATATCATTGTCATCAAGAACCACTTTTCAATGGGGTAATCTGGCAAAATGGGCTCAGTCATACTAGCTAGAACTCTTGCCAAGTCTACAGATATGCAAAGGCATTTCTGGTTAGTTACAGGGTTTCCTTGCCTTACTCCAAAGGTGTCATTTTAATTGGGCGGGTTTATTCATCCCGCCCACTTGGCAACAGGAAGAAAGCTACAGGCTAATACGCTAACTGCCATACAGAGGCTCAGGGTGGCAGGAGATCTTTAGGGAATACAGATGCAAACTATCCCGTCTTAGTATATTGGTTTCCAACATCTCTCAGTGCAGCACATGCAGGATAAGGGCTTTCTCAGATCGCTCTGGAAGTCTCAGATGGGGACTGCCAAAGACAGAACTGAAGTCCTAGGAAAAGCCCAGGGCCTGGTTGGGGTGGGGTCCTTTCCTCTGGGAGTGACGCCCCCTGGCTAGCAGAGCTGGTCATACCCAGGATGTCATTCTCTGGAACCGTTTGGTCCTTCACAGTTTGCACAGACCCTCAAATCCCTGTATCAGCGGGGATCGAGGGGTCCTGTTGGAGCACCCAGGAAGCTTTGTCTGTCAGATGCAACGCCCTTCCTTAACTTGGGCAGGACTAACTCTCCACGGTGAGGATGCCTGAAATTCATCAGAACACTGCACTAACCTTTCCCCACTTGTACCAGTGGTCGGTCACAGGGGCAGGAGCCTGGGGAGGGAGAGGGGGGAGCTGGTGTACTCTCTTTTCCAGGAGTGAAAGTTCTGGGAAGAATAAGACTTGTCTTTGTCAGCCAAGACTCCCTGGTGAGGCCAAGTCTCAGGCAGTACAAAGGAAGAGCTGGTTGGCCACATGGTTTCCTTAACTCCAGGCAGCTGCCCAAAGACCCCTTTCTGATGATTTTCTGGGGGTGGGGAGTTGGAGAAGAAACCCCCACTTCTGCAGGCTCCATGGTGAGGTGGGCCTAGAGCAGTGATGGCGAACCTTTTGAGCTCGGCGTGTCAGCGTTTTGAAAAACCCTAACTTAACTCTGGTGCCGTGTCACATATAGAAATTTTTTTATCTTTGCAACCATAGTAAAACAAAGACATATTTTTGATATTTATTTTATATACTTAAATGCCATTTAACAAAGAAAAATCAACCAAAAAAATGAGTTCGCCTGTCACCTCTGACACGCGTGTCATAGGTTCGCCATCACTGGCCTAGAGAGTCTACGCAGAGTTTAATTTCAACTGGGGAAATACTGAAGGCAATAAAGCAAGGACATGGGGACAGAGCGAGAGGAGAGGCAGACGTCCACCTCACCGTCCCTTACGTAGCTCCATGAGCTCAGAAATAGGCAGCACTGGAAAGGACCTCAAAGTCTGGCTGGGTAATGGTAACACAGCCCTCCAGGGCTCACCATGACAAGGTGCAAAGCACCCCCTATGCACCATGACACCGGCACCTACCACAGCCCCTGCTTCACAGACCAGCCAAAGCTCAACTGGAGTAAGGCGTTTGCCTAAGATGACTCAGCTAATCTGTATGGGGCCTGGATTCCAACCCACAGCTGTCTGTGCCCAGAACCCAGACTGCCTCCACAACATCAGGCTGCCTGCAGAGGAGGAAACTGAGGCCTGGGGAGGAAGACTGGCAGAGCCTGCCCGGCAGCAGGGCTCTAGCACCTCATGCCAAGAAAGCCTTTGGAGACACAGAGAAGGTAGCAAAAGCCACAGCTGCTCTGACACTGTGCAGGACCCGCCCCTGCTTTCGGCACTCGTGACCTCTCCCACCCCAGGGGACTGGCTCTGCTGCTACAGGCCCCAGGGCCCCAATGGGGTAGGGTTTGTCTTGTTTCTCAAGGAGGGGGATGCCCCACCTATGCCCTGGAGGCCACCTGCAGTTTAGAGGAGCGTGGGCCCCAGGAGGGTAGGACACAGACCGCTTGTGACTTGGCCTCAGTGCAGGGGGCAGCTCAGCCACACAAGTCTGTGAACCGGCTCCAGGGAACTCTGGCTTGTTAGCCCTTATCTCAGCTCTAGGGATCAAAGAGAACTTCTCAGCTAGCCTGTCTGAGCCATGTGCTCCTGTTCCGCTCAAAACCAGACCCTTGTGGGGTCCTGGGGTCCTCAGAGGTCTGGACTCTGGTGACTGTACCAGCCAGAACCATTTGGGGTGCATCCTAACTCCCAGCCATGTGGTTGGAGCCACTCTGTGGCTGCTGTGACTCAAATCCCGGCTTCTTGGTCCCTGAGAAAACAGCACTTCTGACAGCTGGCTGGTTGCTGCCCCACATCAGGTGGGCGCTCAGACTCACTGGCAGGCTTTCTTCAGCAGACATGCCCAGCCCTGTCCTCCAGACCCAGCTGAGACGGCGGGTGGGGCCCTCACTTCTGTTTCTGGCCAAATGCCTCGCATTGGCCTGGGTTCCTTCTTGGTTTCTGCCCTCTGCTTTTCCTTGGAAACCAGGTGGCTGCAGGGTGTTCAGTTCTGCCACCACTTCCCATCAGCCTCTCAGTCGGAATTAGGGCAGGACCAGCGAGCTCTTCCACAGCATTCAACTCCTCAGCCACACCTATGCTCACAGAGGTGAGAGGATATGCCAGGATCTCCGTTCAGGGGGCCACATGGGTCCTGGGGTGGGGTTGGGGCGGGGGTGGTGGGCCAGGCTTCTTTGAGAAAGAAGGGAGCCCTGTGGGCACAGTGGTGGTGTTTGGGGACCTGGGGTGGACAGGGAGGAAGTCATTATGCCAGAAGAGCTATGACTTTTCTGAGACGAAGAACACATCAAGGGGTCCTGTCACACACATCGGCCACACTGGTGCAGTGGTGGACTGGGTGGGGGCTGCTGACCTTGGCCGTGGGACGGGAAGGTGGCTGTCACTGCTCAGACGGAGGACTCCTTTCCCAGTGCTTCTTCTTGGCTTGCCAGGATGGGGAAAGGAGCTGGATGTGAGGGTGCTGAGAGCCATGGTGAGGGCTGGGCAAGTGGGTGTGGGAGGCTGGTATTCTCTGGGGGTGGGGGAATGGGGTGGGGTGGGGCAGAGGGGAGGGCCCGAAGGGATGTGCAACTTCTCAAGACTCAGAACAGCCTGGTGACTGTTCATCACCACCCATCTGTCATGAACTGGCAGCAGCCAGAGTTCCCAGCCCAGGTGCCCATCTGGCCCCTCTTGGGGAACCTGCCTCAGGTCACTCGGGAGGACCCCAGTTTTGGCCTCTGGCCATACTGAGAGACATGCATTGTGGCCCTGAGGCCCTCCCTTATCTGACAACCCAAGCAGGCAGAGCCTCACCATCCAGTGCCTGTCCCCTTCCTGTCTGCTACTCCCCACTCGGAGGTGCCCAATCTCTCCAGCCAGACTGAGAGCTCCCCAGGGCAAGTAGTCATCTCCTGCATCTCCTCACAGTGCTCAGGCAGGCCCCGCTGGAGAGCATCTCTTGCAAAACCCTGGGCCTGCAAAACCCTGCAGTCAGCAGCTGTTCACCTGCTCTGCCCATTGCCCACCTGGCTTCTCTGAGTCCTTCCCTGGGGACAACCTAGGCTGGACTCAGGGGTGCAGGGAGCAGAGTGAGAGGCAGGGAGGGCAGAGGAAGGTAACTAGCTCTGCTCCTGCAGTAGAGACTCGTCCAACCAGCAGCCCGGGCTAAAGATCCCAGAACAAGGGCCACTGTGTCCACGACATACAGCAGGCACAACCCGTCTGGCTCCCTCAGCAGGACTACTGGAGATGGAAGGTTGGGTCATTAGTGACTTTCTTTTATTAAAAATGTACACAGATAAAAGGAACATGGTTCAGTTGTACAGAGTAAGAAATACAGATGAGTAAATAGAAACATTAAAGCCACCTGTAGCACACCGTCCAGAAGTAATCAGGCTGTTACATTTTGAGAGACTCAGGTGCAAATATAATTTTTCAGCCCTGCGCACATGTCTAGGAGCTCTGTCCCAGGCAGACACAGGCGTGGCTCCACAAGCGATGCCTCTGCTGCGAACACCGCAAGCAGGAGTCTATTTCCCGGGCCCTGGCTTGGGGCCCTTCCTCAGCCCCAGGTTTCTCTGTGCCCAGATACTGTGCAGAGGTTGGCATCCCAGAGTCCAAAGGGCCAGCTGTGCAGGCTGCAGAGGTAATTTAGAGTAGATTAGGAGGTGCAAAGGCCCTTGCTCAGGACCGAGGTGTCTCCTGGGATGTGGAACCTTCCGTGCTAAAACTGAGAAAGTCCTGGACAAACCTGGGGCAAGTTGGTCACCCTACTCGGAGGGCCAAAGGCCTTGTCCAGCCTCTCCCTTCCTTGCTGTCCACAGGCCCTCTTGCTGGGCCTCAGAGCCCCCAGACCCTCACCAAGCAGTCCAGGGAAAGAGAGGCGGACGGGAATGAACAAGGCAGACAGTCAGCACCTGAAGGAAGGGGCCAAGTGAAATCTGATTATCAAGGACAACCAGGCCTGCAGAGGTGGAGGGACTCCAATACTGAGCTGCCTGGCCCTCTAGCCTTGCAGCGACCCTTAGATTCTGTGTTGAGCCCTCAGAGGTTAGGCTCGTCCTTGGAAAGTGTAGGGTCTCCAGGTGGGAAGCGCTCAACCTCCCAGGGCCTCCTACAGCCCTGGTGCAACCAGCCTTACACCTCCCTCCTCCTTGTCCACACCTCCTGGTGTGTCCTGCCCAGCTCCTCTCTGCCTCCAACTGGGAGCAGCAGATGGGAGAAGAGGCAGCCAGGACAGGCTGCGCTGAGTCAGGAGCAGGCAGGTGGGAGGGGGCCTGGGTAGACAGGACCTCTCTCACAGTGGCTGGCACATCCTGACTGTGGTCTGGCCCCACACCCTGTCTATGCCTGCGGATGGGTCCCTTGGATAACCCAGAGGAGTAGGCAGAGTAGTGGTCTATGGTGGGATAAATATGTCCACATCCAATCTAGTGAACAAAATACGCTGATGAACAAAATAGAAACAGAGACATGGATACATGGGACAGACTGACAGCTGTCAGAGGGGTGGGGGGAGGGGAGAGGGGGGCACTGGATGAACGAAGGTGAAGTGATTGGCCAAAGAACATATATGCATAACCCATAGACACAGACAACAGTGTGATGATGGCCAGAGGGAAGGGGGGAGGGGCAGGGGCTGGGTGGAGGGAGGCAAAGGGGGAGGGGTAATAGGGGCAAAGGGTGGGATGGGGACATCTGTATTGGTGTCAACAATATAAAAGAAGAAGAAATGTCCACATCCTAACGTATAGAATCTGTGAACATGTTATGTTAGGTGGCAACCGGGTATTAAAATTGCAGATGGAATCAATCAGGTAATCTTAAAACAAAGATTATCCTGGATTATCTGGCTGGTCCAGAAGAATCAGAACCAGAGAGATGGAATTGTGTGAAAGACTCGACTAGCCTTGACTTGCTGGCTTTGAAGATGGAGGAAGGCGCCACCAGCCAAGGCATGCAGGCAACCTCCACAGCTGGAAAGGGCAATGGAGCAGGTTCTCTACTTGAGCCTCCAAAAGGAATGCAGCCCTACTGACACCGTGACGTTAGTCTGTTAAGACCTATTTGGGGTTTCTGACCTACAGAACTGAAAGATAATAAATCTGTGTGTTAAGCCGCTTAGTTGATGGTACAGCAGCAATACTGAGAAACCACCCAGGGGCCGCAGCTGCCCCACATCCCTTGGTTAGAGCGGGTCTCACAGAGCCCCACCATCCCTCGGTGAGAGGCTGTTTTGTCCTGGGAGGGACTGAGATTCTGCGGCCCAGGGCAGGTCAAGAACAGTGCTCTGCTGGACGTGTCTGTAGGAAACGGCTGCCTCCCAGAGCCCACTCCCCAAACCTGTGAGGGTGCTGGCTCTGAGTCATGCCCTGAGGTCAGGCCACTCCGCACAGCCAGCCAGGGCCTGCAGCGCTTGGCTGACAACTCCCAGGGCAGGGCTCCGGCACACAGCACTGTCAGTCCCTGGCCTCACTAAGGGGATCCAGCTGCCCTCAGGAAATACGAGGACTAGAGAGGAAAAAGGTGAGAGGACAAATCACTAAATTGGAGGTCAGTCAAATCTGCCTGCTCTGTCACCTATTAGCTGTGTAACTTCGAAGAAGCCACTAGACTTCTTGTAGCCTTAGTTTCTCCATCTGTACAACAAGCATAACAGCTTTGGTCTTACCTGCCTCACGGGGTGCGTGTCTTGGGTGAAATAACACCTGAGAAAACATTGTGCTGCACAGATTGAGATGCTGCTGTTAATAAACAGTCGTGGTCACAACCTCACATGCCTTTGGATGGAGTGAGTGGTTACACATCCCGGGTCGGCAAATGACGGGTGAGTGCAGACTCATCTGTCCTGCCGGGCAGGCACCAGCTGCAGCCTGGCCAGGAGAGAAGAGAAAGACCTGACTTTCTAACCCCCTGCCTCAGAGCTCACAGCGGATGTGAGCCGGAGCCACCCTGCAGCCTGCAGGATGTCCTCCCAACCACCACAGACAGTAGCTTTGCACCTTCTTCTTCTTCTTCTTTTTTTGCTAAGGAAAAAGATTTCTAGAGGTTTTTTTTTTTTGCATTAAAATAGCGCCTTTGTTCACAGAACACTCCCAGTTTTACAGGGAAAAGGTGGAACATGAAACTATGCACAACACAACTCCAATCTAATAAATATAGGATGTTTAACTTTGTGTGCAATACCTTCTGGAAGAAATACATAAGAATACTAATGGGGATTGCTTTTGGTGGTGGGGTTAGGTGATTATATTTCCTTTCTTATATTTCTATAATTTTAAAATGCCCCATATGCTATAATGACTTTTACCATCTGAAAAAAAATTGTATAAATGAAAAGTACCAGGGACTTCCTTTTGTGGGGCCACAAGCTGGGCTTGAGGAGTCATTTGAGTTGGTTCTGCACAGGCGGGGGTCCTGGCCCTGGTCTTTGCCACAGGACCTTGAGACTCACTCTTCTCCCTCCCTGGCCTCTGTTGGCCTGTGAGACAAGACCTGGACAAGACATTCTCTAGGATCCTTGGCAGCTCGATAAAGTATTCACCTTCATCTCCTTCATCCCTGCCTGATGCTCAGCTCCCAGCAGCTTCTCTGTTCCTAGAGAACTCAAAATCAGCCTGGCATTTGCCTGCATCAGTCTGCACTTCTCAGAGCCCTGCCCTTCCTTGGAAAGAACAAAGCCTGGCCAAATCCTGTGCAGCCTGCTGGCCTGCAGTGACCCCTGCTTTCCTCTACTTGTGCATAACAATAGCCATCATTTATTGTTGACTTCAGGTCACAGAGCGGGTCATTTAACTTCAGGTAACCAGCAACTGCAGAAACTAAAATGTGAGCAGTATGCCCTTGGAGGTATGTAATGTGGTGACCCTAACTGATCCTCTCCTGTCTCTGAGGTATTGTTATACCCATTTCACTGATAACTGAGGCTCAGAGAGGTCACGTTAACTCATCCATGGTCATATAATGAGTTTGTGGCAGTGCTAGGATTTGATCTGTAAGTCAGTTCAGTCCAAGTCCAGTGGTTTTTCATTCTCATGGTGGTGTCTTCCTCAACTCCCACCTTCCCGCACTGGAGGGCAAGGACAGTGTGTTCTGAGTTGAACATACAGGGAGCACCCAGTGAACGTCTGGTGGTAGTGGTGTTGTTCACAATGAATTTAACCAGCACTTATTATTCAATCAACAAGTCTTCCCAGAGTCTGGGCTCTCTGGGGAGCAGGAACAGGCCTATTCTGTTCACTGCTATACTCCAGCACCAGCAGTGCCTGACACAGAGTACATGCTCAGTTCGTGACCCTGAATTTATGATTGTTCATTCAAATGATAAAACAACAAAGTAAATAATATGAACTAACATCTATGGGGTGCCTACCCCAAGCCAGCTCTCAGGGAGTCTCCAGGAGAGTTGAAGAGAAATATAACACTGGTGACAAGGCTACCTTGTGGAGTTTTACATAAGTAAAGTATCTGTGTTGCCCTGGCCGGTGTCACTCAGTTGGTTGGGCATTGTCCTGTGCACTGAAAGGTTGTCGGTTCAATTCCCAGTCAGAGCACATTCCTGGGTCACGGGCTCAATCTCCGGTTGGGGTGCATGCAGGAGGCAGCAGATCGATGTTTTTCTCTAATGGATGCTTCGCTCTCTCTCGCTCTCTCCCCCCGACTCTAAAATCAATAAAAAGATACTATTTTATTTACATTTTTATGTGTTCTTTTAAAAATCTTTATTGTTGAAAGTATTACATAGGTCTTAAAAGTATCTGTGTAAAGGCTGTGAAAACACCAAAGAAAGATGATCAGAAGCCTTCTTCTGGTGTTGGAGGCCCTGCCAGAAACTATCACCATTGCAACTCGGATACACTGACTGCCAAAGCACAGAACCCTAATTTTCCATCGATATCCATGGTTCTGTCTGCTCGGAACACATCTGGATGCTTTTGTTGCCCTCCAGACTGGATAACCAGAATGCTGAGGGCTATAAGACAATCGTGGAAACTGGTGAATTTAGCTTGGAGAAGGAAACCCAGGGTCATCCTTAACCCCTGATGGGCTGCAGTGGCGATAGCCCTGGCACCCCCTGAGGAAAACCTCTCTCTGGAGACGAACCAGAGAAGCAGGGAGCCTGGTAGCTGCCTGTCAGGACGTGATGAGGCCTTACTCCCTACAGCACAATCTGCACACTTGCTCACATAGCAAACGTTTATTAACTGTCCTCCATGGCTTATTGCAGGCTAGGGGAACAAGGATGAATAAAACAAGCTTGCAAGCTTAGAAAACGCCATTCCCCGAGGGACAGAGTCAGGAGCCTCATCCTGTGGCCTGAGACTCCTTATTATGCATCTTGTCCCAGCCACTGCTGAAGGCTTTTATTTTCCTTTTTTTTTTTTTTTTTGTATTCTGAAGGGGCCGGGCATAATGCAGATAATCAACAAATACAGGCATCTCTGTAGAGGAGTCCTGGGATGGGAACTCCAGCTGAATCAATGTTCTACAGGGGCCACAGGGGGCTGGGTCTCAGGCCCGGTCATTGGCATGTGTCCCCTGCCCCTTCAGATCCCTTCAAGTGCAGACAGGCCTTGACCATGGTGTCTTCCAGCCCCGTTTCCACAAACACTGATTGACCTTTGCCGGTTGCACTGAC